CACAAAGTCAATGAGGTATATTATTATCACCACAAGACATTGCCTTTCTTGCCTCTGCTTACAGTTAATCTTTGTTCTTACTCTGTGTCTCAGGCAACCACCTGGTCATTTTATATTATATGGTCTTTGTTTCTGACCTTTTCTTTTCCACTTATTCCAGATTTCTGTTTATTCATGTTGTAGCAAGCACTAGTATTTTATTCCTTCTTATTGCTGAGTAGTATTCTATTAATATGGGCATACTACATTATGTTTGCCCACTTAGAAAACTAATGAGCATTTAGAATGTCTCTTTTTTCTTTTACTATTGAGACCAATGATTCCACAAACATTCATATACAAAGTTTTATGTTTAAATTTCTACATTGGAACTAACTTTGAAAGAAACTGATAAACTATGTTCCAAACACCTATACCATTTAACATTCCCACTACCTGACTCATGAAAGCTCTGATTTCTCTACACTCCCTTCCACATTTATTTTTCTCTGTCTTTTAAAATTATTATTGTTATGGGCCTTCTAATAGGTATAACATGTTATTTCATTTTGATTTAATTTGCATTGACTTAATGAATAATTCAAGGCATTTATTTTATATATTATTTATATATCTTCTTTGATGACAATTCAAAAACTCTTGTTTATTTTTAAAACTGAGATGTTTGTTATCTTATGATATCATAAGAATGCATTATATATTCTACATAAGTCTTTCATCAAATATGTGAGTTCAAGCTACTTTCCAGTCTGTGGTTAATCTTTTACTAATGGTACCTTTGAAGAGCAAATATTTTGAATTTTGATTATAGACAATTGATCATGTTTTGCTTTTATGGGTTATATTTAGTGGTGCTTTATGAAAGGAAGAAGAGTCAGTTGCAATGTGGATAACATGGTTATAGTAGTTTCTAACTTGCATTTTGATACTTGTGATGATTTTTCTACTTTGGTGTGTAGTAGAGGCCTTGTTGATCTGGAAACATTCAGAAAGCTGTGCATAACACAAATGATTAGCATTATCAAGCCAGGTTTGAATGACAAGCAGTGAAGGAGCTGTCAGTGATGCCTGTTCATGTGGTTCCTCTGACAGACAGCGTACCCTCTTATTCAGCTCCTGGAAATGTCATCTGAAAATAAGCAGAGATTCTTTCCCATGGCTCTGTGGAAAGCTGTTTTCATTATGTTCATATTTTCAAAAAAGATCAGTAACTCCAAAACACCATGAAAATACTGGAAAAGCTGGTCCTACTGATAGCTTTACTACAAAGTTTTCTAGGCACAAGAGCATTTTAAGCTTTCAGACTATTTAATGTGTCTGGACATAGGGTCTTGAGGTTACATGAATAGACCATATAGGTACATGGTTAACTGTTGTACCAGATATCTTTTTTTTTTTTTGGGTCCGGTCGTGGGCCCTGAACTCTGGGCCTGGGTGCTGTCCCTCAGCTCTTCAGCTCAAGGCTAGCCTCTACCACTGAGCCACAGCGCCACTTCCGGCTTTTTTCTTTTTGCTTATGTGGTGCTGAGGAATTGAACCCAGGCAGGCATGCAAGGCAAGCGCTCTACCACTGAGCCACCTTCCTAGCCCATGTACCAGATATCTTGTACCCTGAGCTACAATCTCCCTGCAAAATTTGCTTCTCCTATGGCTGTTTCTATCTCAGCTAACATCAGCTCTGTCTGACTTACAAGTGCTCAGAAAGAACTATGTAATTCATCTTTGTCTACTGTCTTTCTTTCATAACCTAATCCAATAATTTCTAAATCCTATTAGTTCTAAATGCAATGAGAAAGCCTGCATGGGATTCTGGGAAAGAGAGGGGATTTTAGAGGAAGAAAACTGTTGAGTTTAGTTAATAAAAATGTATCAGCATTGGTTTATGAATGGCCACAGATGTACCATGCCAGTACAAGATGCTGAAAGTAGAAGATATGAGGTACCAGATATAGGGAAAAGGAGCTCTGTGAATTTTCTATGAATCGAAAGCTATTCTAACATAAAAATTATTTTTTAAGAAGTCAAGTAGCAGATTCTATAGGCCTGTTGGTCACCAGAGCCTTTGGCTACTTGCTGGGCCTGATGGAATGGAGAGTATGTTTTCGTTGTTCTCATGGTCTCATTAGAGGATGTGTCCACAAGCATCTTTCTTTTGTGGGGAGGGATTTGTTGCACTATCAGTATGTTTACATAGTATAATAATGCCTATAAAAATGGGTCTAAATCAGTCTTTTCATAATAATTTTGATAATTTTGTTGACTACTTTATCCCTTACAAATATGTGCATGTACTAGAAAACTAGTAACAGTTCTAGGTTTATTTTTTTTACAATAGCTAGTGAAGAGCTCTTTTGTCAGTGGTACTGGTGATTGAACACAGGACTTCTTGTGATTACCAAGCAATCTTTCTGCCACTTGAGCTAACCTTAATTCAGCAGTTCCATTAAAAAAGGATTATCTTGCAATCCTTTAAATGCTACTTGAAATAGATATATTTATTTTGTATAGAACACACTGACTTGAATTAACCCCCTTCCCCTTTTATTTGAATGTGAGGTGCTAGATATTGGTGCTGATCTGGGTCATAGAGGGTTTAAGAAACACTGAAATTAAGAAGTCGCCACTGATTAGGCCCTAAAGAATTGTAGGGTCATCTGTAATATTAGTTCTAGTTTCTACGCAATCAAGGCTTTATGTCACTCAAATCCAGAAATACACCACAATTGGAATGAGGCAGGTGGTTGTTTCTAAATGAACTTTCTTTTCTTTGTCTGGTAGAAAACCAGAGGACAATCATAGTTGTTCCTAAGAGAAAAACCAACCCCTGTTCCTCATACCTACCTAGATGTTATAAATAGTTGAATATATTTAAAGTATCTTCAAAGCTTGAGCAAATGAAGACAAACTTGCTAAGGGCTGCTAACTTCTGATGACAAATTGTCAGACTTGCTATTGCAGCTGGACATGTGCAAAGTTACCATAAGGAGTATGCATGGAGTATGATAAATCTTCCAGCTGAGAGCAAGCACTTACATGAGTCCGAAAGGGGTGCATGATTGCCAGGAACAGACCCTGCTTTGTATTTACTAGGGCAATGCCATACTGGTGATAGGGAACGTGGAGCTATTTCATCTTGTGTTCCCAGTTTGTCCTCTCCTTACCTGACCTCTGAAATGGAGCCACTGGCTTTGAAAAGCCTGGTGTCTAAAATTAATATTCTTCTCCATCTGACTAAGAAGGCAACAGCTGAGCAACATGAGATCAAGGGCCATAGTTTAAAGGAGGCTCAGAGTGGAATTTGAGAGAGAGGATACTTCCTCTTGTCATATACACTTGTCTTTTCAGAAGACTTCTACTCACTGAGAGAAAAGACTCTCAGAGAGTTCTGTAGCCAATTTCAATTTGAAGTCTACAAAGATTCCTTTTATCTGCCAAACTTTCGCTCTACCCTTGGAGTGGTCCAAACACTATGATGTCTTCCTACAAATGGTAATTATGATTTTTGATTGTTATAACTTATCAAATCTTCTCTTTCTTTCTGTAGGTTGCTTTAAATAACAAGTTGAACTAAACTTCAGGTACACCTTAAGGTTTAGTATTCCTTTGCAAAGCAATTATATCTTGGAGCTAAGCTTTTGTTTTTAATATGTTAATGTTTTAAGTGGCTTCCCAATTCAGTTTTAGTAACTTGTAACTGATGTATCTCAATCATAGTTTATTTCAGAACAATTGAGTATTTGTTTTTGTATTTTAATTATGGGTCACTTGTAACTAAGCTATATATATATAGATAGATATAGATATATATCATAGTTTATCTTAGAACAATCAACTATTTTTGCATTTTAATAATGGGGTTTTCAAGAAAGTTCCCAAGAATGGTACCAGTGGTCTATAATGCCTAGAGTTCTGGTTGATACTATTTGTATTTTTATTTGTTTGAATATAATTTCTTTAGGGGGTATAAAACATATTAGAGCTCTGGATTTAAAAACTTTTGAAATACCTGTTGGTTATTTTGTTATATGAGTTGCTAAAAATGTAATGCAAAGTTTCATGGGGAGAGAATTACAGAGATATCCCCCAGGTGGGAGGCAAAACACCCAGGAGAAGCAGGAGGTCCTCCTTCCTTGCTAAATCCCCCTGGAGGGAAGGAAATGAACAAAATTTTCAAATCCCATCCAAACATCAAGTTCTTTAGAGTCAATATATAAGTTGGCTATTTGATACTGTAGGGAACTTTTAAATTTACTTTGTTCTCTCTGAAATAAATCAACAATGGACAGATAATAAGAAAAAGACCACACAGAATTTACTACATGCCTAAGGAATAGGAGTATGAGTTTCATAGAGGAGCAACAGAGCTGTCCCTTATACAGAGCTTAAAGGGATAGGAATTTGGACTTCTGAAATCAAAAGAGGTTGCCCTGTCCCTGGAAAGATGAAGGAGGAGGTATAAGCAATCCATGGTTGCCTTGAGGCTCAGATCGTCTCTTTCAAATAATAGTCACTGATAGTCATCTCCATCAAGGCTAGGCTTGAGACTCATCTCTTCTTGTGAATAGATCTTTCCTAGGTAGAAAAAGGGAGATACCAGCCAGAGATGCCTTTACTTTTGCCTGCATTGCTATTTACTCATGTGGATGTATTAAGTTTCTTTCTTACAAAAGGACAGATTTCCAGAGCTGTTCCTTTATCTTCAGAGGTCTACAATTTTTCCTACATGGTCAACTTTGAAAAAGACCAAAGAAACATTGGGGGGGGGGAGGTGAGGCATTTTACTCTGCCACAATATATATTTTGTTTTACAAAATGAGTTATATAGTCACTTGAGATTGCTTCTTACCACTTTTGTAGGAAAAGATTCACCAATGGAAATTCAATACAAATATTTGCATTTCTCTTTCTAATTTTGAGTTGTCTCTCCAATTCAAACAGAAGCCACATCCAAATCTTCACTGAGTAAGTTGGTATAATAAGTGTGTGTGCTTTCTTTACAGTCAGGAGACTGGAGCTCTGAAAAGTCACGATTGTGTCTTGATTTACAAATCTGAGACAGAGGGAAATGAAAACCATACTTCAAATAGTAGCTTAATTACGCTCACCACCAAAATGTTAAAAGTGAAGAGGTTGGAAGAAATCAGCTCTTGTTACAGCAGCAATCAGCTGGAGAAAATGACATTCTTTCAGTGCATGGAAGAGGTTGAGAAAGTAAAATGTTTTCTAGAAGGAAATTCTAATGAACAAGATTCAAGATCTGAAGAGAATGAGGTAATTATATGTTCATTTGATTTCTCCTTATAGGTAGAACCTAACAAACTTAAAATTAACAAACTTAAAATTCTATTTTGTCATTTATATTTAGAATTAAGGAAAGTTATGAATAAGCAAATTTCCTATTTTTAAGAGACAAAAATTCACTCAAGTTAACAAAATTGAACTTGATTAATAATTGGGAGATAATCCTAGCCACTCAGACTCAGAGCAGAAGGATCTAGGTTCAAGGACAGCTGGGGCAGAAAAGTTGGTAAGACTCCATCTCAAAAATAATCAACCAAAAACAGGACTGAAAGTACGAGTTAGGTAGATCAGCAGCTGAGAAATAAAGGAGGAGGTGGGGAGGAAGAGGAGGAGGAAAAGAGAGGGATAAGGAAGGTGGTCTTCCTGCAGGCTGCTCTACATTGTGTTTAATGACTTAAGAATTAGAAAGTGAGCTTGTGGATCTAGAAGTGTAGCTCTGTGGCAGAAGGTATGCTTACCATATCAGAAACCCTGACTTCCTTCCTGCAACCCCAAACACACACACACACACACACACACACACACACACACACACACACACA